AGGGTTCGAAAGGCCGATACCCAGCCTTCAGCGTGACAGGTCATAGATCAGCCCAGCGACCCGTTCGCGAAGCTTCCTGTAAGCGTTTGCAAGAATGCCATGTGCGCGCGGTTCCGGCGCAATGTTACAGTTGCTAGCACCGGCCTGGCCTTGCGCGCCTGCTTGATAATGCGCTTCTTGTATTTTCTCACTTCTTTTTTGCTTCTTTTTGGCGCCTCTGATGGCTCCTCCGCAGCACTAGGTATCATAGGGTGTTGCAAATGCACCGGCGATGATTCCCTCAAGCCCGGAAAAACATCAAGGCATGGAATCACCACGAGAATGCTGCAAGCAGGATTGATCGTGATCTGGCAAACCAATTGTGCCTCATCCTTCGCCCTCGCGGATAGCTTCTCCAAGCGCTTCTGCAAGAGTGACAGCTGTGGAGGCATAAGGAAGCCGATGACCTACAAAGCAGGAGATTATGAAGCAGCATTAATTCACAGCAAGACAACCCGACGATATGCCAGACCTTCACTGCCACCTCGTTGGGAAGAGCGCGTTGGCAACTGAAAGCTAACAGCGCCCTGAAATCCACCGCCAGACTCCGGACACTTTGCCACGACTGCGAGATCACCTGGCACAAACAAACACTGGTTGTTCTCACCGTGTGGGAATGCCTGAATGACTTCCCAGTCCGAACGCCTGCAAGTCGTTCGGGGAAAGCACTTGGGATTCGAGCCAGGCGATCACCTCAGCCCAGGAACTTGAGAAAACATGCGGTTGCTGCCGCTCTCCCTGTATGCCGGACCAACACACGTGCCTCGCCAGCACAGTTGCGCATCAGGTCCGGGAACATGCAGCAGAGAATGTCCTGCCGCAGGGATCACACGCCCCTGATATCTGGCCACGTTTTAACTCCAGTGCGGCCCCTTGTCTGGATAAGAATAAAAGCCTCTGCTGAGCGCGTCCTGGACCTTTTGCTGGTTGCGCGCCCAAGCGGGTGGCCGCATTCGTGGCGGATGCACGGGTGCAGTAGCACATAAGACCTTTCGCAGCGCACCTGCAGCAGGATACACGTTGGGAACAATGCAAGCAGTCTTTGTTCCCTTCCGCCTAAGGAGCTCGAGATCCCGTCGTTGCCCAAGCTTTGCCAAGCCATCGCGTGAGTGGCAGGCACAGGAGCCTAGCACAACAACATTCAGGAATATGGTTTGCCTGAATGGTGCTGTCTCTTGCTGGTA